ATCTCCTAGAAGTGAAAGCTCAATTTAGAAAGTGCATCTCCTAAAAGAATGACCTGAAAGACCTAGACTTGGAAGTGTGTCTCCTAGGGGTGAAACTTGAATGATCCAAACTAGGAAGTACGTCTCCTAAGGATGAACCCAAACTACCCAAACTAGGAAGTGCGTCTCCTAGAAGTGAAATCTCAATTTAGGAAGTGCGTCTCCTAGAAGTGAAATCTCAATTTAGGAAGTGCGTCTCCTAAAAAAATGACCTGAAAGACCCAGACTAGGAAGTGTGTCTCCTAGGGGTGAAACTTAAACTAGGAAGTGCATCTCCTAGAAACTGAATAACTCAAACTAGGAAGTGTGTCTCCTAGATCTGAGATTGAGCCTGAGAAAAACTGTAAACTGAGCTTGACTAGAATAAAAACTGACCATATTTTCCAGGTGGGGCCCCTGAACTCAAGAAAACTAGATTAACAACTAACCCTATTCTCCAGGCGGAACCCCTGAACTTAAGAAAAATTAAAGATTAACTTAAGAAAATTAAAATTGTCCCTATTCTCCAGGCGGGACCCCTGAACTCAAGGAAAGCTAAAGATTAACAACTTAAAAAGCTAAAATTGACCCTATTCTCCAGGCGAGACCCCTGAACTTTAAGAAAAACTAAAGAGTAACAACTAAAGAAAACTAAAAACGGGCCCTATTCTACAGGCGTGACCCCTGAACTTAAGGAAAACTAAAGATTAACAACTTAAGGAAACTAAAAGTGACCCTATTCTCTGGGCAGGACCCCTGAACTCAAGAAAAACTAATGACTAACAACTAGAGATTAAAAAAAAACTTAAAGAAACTAACAACTTAAGAAAACTAAAAACTGACCCTATTCTCCAGGCGGGACCCCTGAACTAAAGGAAAACTAAAGATTAACAACTTAAGAAAACTGAAATTGACCCTATTCTATAGGCGGGACCCCTGAACTAAAGAAATGCTAAAGACTCTTCCGACTAAGGAAACTGCCTAGGAGGTATGATTCTTTTCAACTATGGAAGATGTCTAAAGGGTAAAAACCTTCTCAAACAACCTTTGTGCTGACAAAAACTGGGCACGACACCCGAAAGTTTCAAGCTTCCAAGATTTGATTTGGACATAGTCTTCGTCCCTGTTTCAAACAAAGAAAACTTGTTAATTTAAAACATGGTGGTTGGTTTGTGGCCTTGATCTTGAGGGCGATTGCTCCTACACTTGCCATGATAACTTTGATTTCAACTTGGAAGACCTTGATTGTTATTGGCTAACCACTTTATCTATCAATCCTTGCCACAGAAAACACATCCGATCCGTTCAGAACCAATACCTTCTATCTCTTGCATTGTGCTCATGAATTGACATTTACTGAACCTTTGCATTTCACATGAATACCAAAGCACGTCAATTGTCGCCAACTCAGTGCGCATACTACTCTTTCCTGACTTATGCCATTTTGACGTGCTAGCCAAACTCCGCTTTGTGCAATTGGAAAGCTGGTAGCAAATTTTGAAGTCATTTCTCACTTGTTCTGACAAAACAGACTCAAGAGGACTTAAACAAAGCAAGAAGAATAGAGAAAGGGGACAATGTAAAGAGATGACATCTAACAAGAAAATTATCAAGTAGAAGCTTATCAAATGTGGATACCAACTCTAATGACCATGACATTCATTTTGGATTAAGTGGCATGATCTGTCACGCAACTCTGATCTTCAACTCTTTTTGTACCTCTAAGCCGTGAAACTAGGCTTCAATGCTCTGATTATCCTATCTGATTCACGATCCTTATTCGACTTGAAGTGCCCGAAGGGTTTTCATAATCAAGCCTCTCTCATTTTGTTCTTTCTCTCAACTCACTGTCACCTTATGGTGCATGTGAAGGTTTTCACCGATAAGACTCTCTTATTTTGTTCTTTTCTTCTTATTTCCTCTGATTCTGCAGATGACAAGGCATTAACCATGGTAAAAATAACATCATATGCTCCCGGCATGTCTAGCTCGGCACTCTCAAAGATTATCTAGGAGGTCTTTTTTCGATTGTAATATGGCTTTTGGAAAAGGTTATAAAAAAATAAAGGCTCAAATTAAAACTAAGACAAAAGGATTAATTTATTTACAACTTTTGGAATCCATTAAAAACTTTGCCCTAGTTTCTAGAACAAGAGAATTTGATTCTTTTCTTTTCTTTTTATTTTTTTAGATGGAATTACTAAAACAACTACACCACTCTTGACTTCGTGGGATTTTAAAATATTTTATTTGGTGTGACCGAACCTTAAGGCTGCCTACATATCTTGTGGTGACAAGAATCAGGTCGAACGTAGTTCAAAAGAATACTTTTTTGTTGTTGCTATTTTCTTTTCTTCTTTTTTTTCACTTCTTTTTTTTTTCTTTTTCTTTTTTGGAATGAACTTTCTAAAACAAACCTTATGGGACATGATGATTTTTTGTGTGTATATTTTCTCTAGCTTGATTCCAAAAGAGGGAAAGTCAAAGAAATCAGCATAGGCTCAAAAGGGTACCGAAGGGTATAAAGTGTTTGGGTGGCTGAAAGAAGGCCTCCCAATCTCTAAAAATGCCAAGTACGACACACGCAACTTGAGAACAGAATATGAAGATCATGCGTAACATTTCCTTTGCAACATCGGCATTGTTATCACTGATATGCCTTCCATTTTTCTTTAGTGCCTTATCAAGTACAGAACTCTTGTTGGTTATTTCTTCTTCACAATCGATACCCGAACTCAAAGTTGCTTGCTTCACATTGTCTGGGACGCACTCTCTTGTAGCAAATTCTTGTCGTCCTATTAACTTTCCAAACTATCTGCCCCAGTTTCACACAATTCGAAATTTAAATGATCTCAAAATATCCAAATCTTTACTTATTTCCCTCAAATGTCCATGTCATATTCAAACCTTGTTTCATTGTTTCATGATTAGACTAACTTTTAAGACCAGACTGAGAATTACGCATGTATGTCATGTCACTAGAGTCAGCATGAAAAGACTTATAAAAAGAAAAAGAAAACTAAACAAAAACGGACAAGAAATAACAGAAAACAAAGATTACATTAAACTGATGGTGAAAAAGTGTGAACAACAAAAACAAGCAAAATAAAGTTGGGTTACAACCCTGGAACAATCCTAGATAACACTAGACGAGTTACTATGACTAAACGAACTAGGCAAAACAAAAGGATTAAAGGGTTTGAGTCACAAGATAATATCCGGATTACGACCCTGAAATAACCCGGACAAACAAAAATGACAACAAAATAAACCACCAAGACTCCTCCCTGGCTAGCCAGGAAAGGAACGTCTTTCCAATTACCAAGCTCGACATCTTAGCCACTAAGTTCCACATCAATATTACCAAGACCATTACCAATTTCAATCACATTGACCTCAGCAAATAGCTTTTGGGGCCCTTTTGCCGACTCGTTCTTAAGATCAACTTCTGGAACCGAGACTGATAGCGCTGAAAACTTTGCAGAAAGTGGCCCTCCAAGGAGCTCAGAAGAGTTCTCATGTTCCTTTTCAACACAAATCATACCCACCATATGCGTCTCATTATGAACAAACAAAAGACTTTGGCTAGTATCCGCTGCGTCTGGATTTTGCACAGTAATGTCACCTACATCAATAAGCTTCAGGATTGCTCTATTCAGATGCCAACACTTTTCTATGTTGTGCCCCGGGGCATCAGAGCAATATGCATACCTTTGAGAATAATCAAAATTCTTTAGAAGGGGGTTCGACCTTTTTATCTGAATCGGCTTCAACATGTCCAATTGCCTCAACCTTTGGAACAAACTGGCATATGATTCTCCAATAGGAGTGAAAGACTTTTCCTTTTGTTGCTGCCTTTTTAGTTTGTACTCGGGCTTCGGTTGGAACCTCTTGTGGGTAGATGATCGATATGCTTGTAGAGGTAGGTAAGACATTTGTGGAGGTGGTGCAGGCCATTGCAGGTCTGGTGGATGTGGAGCATATGGTGGTGCATTGTGGATAGAGTACTGGGAGGGCGAGGTATGACTTTGGGGATTTTGTGGAAAGAAGTAGCATTGGGGAGGATTATCTGGAATACAGGGATATATATGGGGTGAATATTGAGGCTGAAAGGGTTGGGCAAGAACGCCCGCTGGATTTTGTCGTTGGCGAGGCTCTACATCTTTTCTGTTTCTCCTCCTTCTACCCAAACTTACAGAGATGTTCTGAATGTATTCTGTATTACCTTTCAATGCATCAAAGCTCATGATTTTTCATGGCTTGATTCCTTCTTCTACTATCTCCCCCATTTTTACCACGTCATTGAAAGGTTGACCTAAAGCCGGGATCAAATGACTGAAGTAGGTGGGTCCCTGAGCTTGTAGGAAAATCTTAACCATTTCTTCTTCATCAAACGGGGGACTGACTCGAGCAGCTTGTTCCCTCCATCTGAGCCCAAACTCCCTAAAACTTTCCTCGGGTTTCTTTTCCATCTTAGATAAGGAGGAACAGTCTGGGATAATGTCTATATTGTACTGAAAGTGTCGAACAAAATCTTGAGCCATGTCATTCCAGGCATACCACTTACTCACATCTTGACGAGTATACCATTCCAAGGCTACCCCACTCAAACTCTCACTGAAATATGCCATCAACAACTCATCTTTCCCGCCAACACTTCTCATTTCACTGCAATAATCCCTCAGATGGGCTATTGGATCTCCACGCCCATCATACAATTTAAACTTTGCATTTTAAACCTCGCGGGCAGATGAACATCAGGGAACATACACAAGTCATTGTAAGACATATTAATCTGATTTCTCATCCCTTGCATGTTCTTTAAGGATTGTTCTATACCTTTCAACTTTTTGGATATCTCATCCCGCCCTTCTTTTCCTGCGGACTTTTCATTTTCAACATAAGGCTAATTCTGAGGGTTACAATTATACGAGTCCGGGACCTGGTGGACCATCTCTGGAGAGGGGGTAGTATTGGGCATCATGAGGTTTAAACTGGTATTCACTGTTGGACCTGAGGCTGAGGAGAGGTTGTTGAGAAGTTGTGATGGTGAGAATAGTGGACATGACATGAGGGCTATTTTTGGGAAATATAGTTGAAGGACGAACAATGGACCAGAAGAAAAAGAATTTAACAACAACCCTTTGTGTTTATCCCTGAATTGAGCACAACCCACTTGAGGATCCCATTTCTTGAAAGCACCGAACAAGAAATCAAAGAGAGAAAGACGATGGAGAGTCCTCCATTTTAGGGAAGTGCGGCTGTCTCCTTTTAGAATGATGGGGGGGTGTCCGATTTTATTCTCTGTTTTTTGTGCGTTTCTCTTGTGGCTGAAATGGGGGAATTAGCTTAGGATTTTTGGGTGTTAATTTGGTTTTTATATGGTAGTGAGGAGTGAGTATTGGCCCTTGGATGAAAGTAGATCAATGGCTATGATTAAGGGAGGGGTTTGATGGGTGAGAAAAGGATTTGGGCTAAAAGGGATTGGGAAGAATGGGCCTTTACCTTCCTAGGCCAGTAATTTCCGAAAATGAGCTCCCAATTGGCCCAAATTCAATTCTTTCTCATTGAACAAAAATAAAAATAAAAATACTACCAAAATATATTAATTAATTTTAGTTAATAAGAATAAACTATTAAAGTAAATTATATATTAGAATGAAAATATTTTTGATATTTTTTAAATTTTATAAATATTATAAAATACTAATAAGCTAAAAAAATATTATAAAACTATTTTTGTGTTTTCAAACTTATGTTTTAAAATTAAAACTAAAAGTTGATTGAAATCCTATTAAAAATAAAAATAAATAAATATTTTTGAAATATTACTTTTAAAAGTTGCGCGCGTCAAAAATTACGTGCTTACAGTGCCATTGTTCGAGATTGGATCTTTCAAGAAGTATGACGAAATATTTATTGGTGGCATTACTCTACACCCTGTAGAATATTTAATTGGAGTTGAATGGGCGTACAAGTCCAACTACAAAGCAGTTAGAGAAGTAGATGGTTTCAAGGTGAAGGAGAAATATGTTGATGATATTTTGAAGGATTTTACCATGAGTAAAACCAAATCATATAAGAGCAATATTCAAGTTAAATTGAAGTTGACTAAAGATGACACTCGTGATTTTGTTGATGCTACATATTTTAGGAAATATGTGGAAAGTCTAAGGTACTTGACTTCTACAAGGCTTGATATTACTTATGGAGTTGGATTAATTAGCAGATTTATGAAGACTCCACGACAATCCCACTTGCAAGCAGCAAAGAGAATTTTGAGATATATTCAAGGTACGCAGACTGATGGTATATTTTATTCAAAGACTAGTGATAGTAGTCTTGTGGGATTTACAAACAATGACTGGGCTGATGATACGATACAAAGAAAAAGTATTTCTGGCTATGCATTTTATTTGGGTTTTGGTGTATTTTCTTGGTCTTCCAAAAAGCAATAAGTTGTTGCTTTATCAACAGCTGAAGCAAAGTACATGGCTGCAACAAGTAGTGCTACACAAACATTGTAGTTAAGAAGAATGCTTGGATTTCTTCAACACAAGCAAGACAATCCTACAATAATTTTTTGTGATAGCAAATCTGCAATTGAGTTAACAAAGAATCCAGTTTTTCATGGGCGTAGCAAACACATTGATATCAAATTTTACTTTATTCGTGACTTGGTTCAAGACAAGAAGATAGTTATTGAGTATTGTAAGACTGAGAGCAAGTTGCTGATGTTTTCACAAAGCCACTAAGATTGGAGTTATTCATCAAGTTGAAGAAGATGTTGGGCATGATCAATTTTGAATATCTTGCTTTAAGGGAGGCTGTTGGAAATTAAACCAAGATTAATTAGTATTCCTACGTCGTCTAGGGTTTAGTATTTACTAGTTTATTTAATTCATGTCTAATTAGGATTCACAACCAAAATTATGTAGGAATAGGTTTTCTAGATTCTAGTCAAATCTGGTTTGTAGTATTATAAATAGGGGTACTACTACATGTTTTCTATTGTGGAGAGATTCAAGAGTTTATGAGTTTTGAAATGCCTCCTACCATGTTCTCTCCCCTAGTTTAATAAATTTCTTCTATATAGTCTTTGTTGAATTTTTTGCTTGTGCCTAAATTATTCTTGGGGTATTTTATTCCTCCATGTATGCTCACACGGGCATATCTACATTCATAAAAGGCAGTACTACGTAGTAAATTCAAACAATATATAAGTGGCTTTCTGGATACCAGGAAATTATTAAAAAGAAAAAAAAAATTGAGTCGGATACCAGGAAATAAAGTGAAAAATCCATAGTGCTCTCTCGCCCATTATTTGACATATCTCGAAATTATATTCACCGAATGATCAATGGCAATGCTAACTAACATTACTTGTTTGTAGGAAGAATGATATTGACCGGTTCACTAAGCTCCTATGATTTTGTAAAATACATTTACCGAAAAAAATGCGAAAAATTGGGAGTCAGATGCTTACCATTTCCGATATCGAAAAGCACAGCCGGCTAGAGACCCGTCAGAATAAATCATTTTCGCCGCGCTAAAGGATTCTCAAAAGGAAATTTTACCTTTTGTAGTAAAGTTTTACACCTTATTTATTATAAATAAATACCCTTTTAAAATATTATTTTCTATAGCTACCTTTTAGTTTTTATAGCAAAATATATATTTATGGTTACTTCCTACCGTTAAGCCATTAAATACGCTGTGTAATATTTTTTTCTCTCCTGCTTTCTGTTTTTTCTCTCACAAGATCACCGTAGTATCCAACTTCTCTCTCCACGATCTCTCTCTCCAGTCTCCACTATCTCTCTCTCACAACGTCAATCTCTTCCCCATTCTATATCCACGATTCTCCACTGATTCATCTCCATTGTCTCTCTCAATTTTTAATATTTTTTGCTCCAAAAAGTTGTGATAAGTGTTAAAGTTGTTAGATTGTTGTTTTATCTCCGGCCTGAACGTGAAAAAAATCCATTTCATGCGAAATTAGCCATAAATTCTGGTGAATTATGCTAGACCTCATCTGGGGTTAGTCTATTCCTTTCACCGGAGAAAAAGCTTTTTTTTCTCTATCAAACAAATGGATAGGAATAGAGAAGCAAGAAGAAGTGGGGGTATGGTAGCAGCGGCAGCTACATCTAATGGATTGTCATCAAGACGTAGACATAGAACTAACAGTCTTAGATATTCTCAGGTTCAGCAGCAAATACATACAGCATAATACAGTTGGCTTGAGAATACAGATGAAAACACTTAGTTGGAATACATAACTAAAACTAGAACAACTAGTATTTTTTAAAAAAGTTGTTGAATGAAATAAAATACATCTAAATACAACAGTCAAAAGTCACTGTAATAAGTATAATTGAGTTTGTTGAGTTATATTATGAGTCTATCACGTTAATTGATTCACTTACCGTTTTTAAACAGTTTGAGAGACATTTTTTTCGCAGATTTTCGTTACTGTATTCACGAATACAGCTCGCAAATACATATGGATACAGTCTATGTTAGTTAGACTTCCCTGTTTTCCGCCGAGTTTTGCTACTGTATTCATGAATACAATAGCTTGAATACATCGAATACACTCTATAACAATTGAAAAGATAGCTATATGAAGCAATTAAGTAAATGGTAGCTATAGCAAGTTAATAGTCACTAAACAATAGTGGTTTCTGAAAATTTCTCTTCTCAAAATGGTTGCGAGAAGCTAAAGGAACGGGAGTCCGTATTTCTTTTAGCGGGCTTTCAGCACAAGTGTTTGGGCCCTGGGCTCTGCTAGTTATTGGGCTCCTGCGAACCAGTCTTGCAATGGGTAGAAATGACACCAGGTAGCCACTCTAAAGGGCTGTTATTTAGAAAGAAAAATTAACCCAAATAGTCGTTCACCCAACCGCTTAAACTAAGAATAGCCGGTAGAGGTATAATATATGAATAATTTATATATTATACGTGTATAATTATGTATAATCAATGTGTAAATTATGTATATGACTAGAAAAAGTAAATATTGAATATGGCTGGCTATTTGTGTAAAGATCCCATTTAGAAATTAGTCAGTGCATCCTGAATTTTAGTTTTCAGTTTAATTTCTCAGGACAAAAATATTTTGAGTTGTCTTGAAGTTAAGATTTTTAGTTTAAAATTTCAAGACAAAATATATACTGGCTAATTCCTAAATAGCATTCCTGAGAATGGCCATCTGTGTACTTGCCCCCTATAATGGTCGCTTTCAGGAGGCGAAGTGCACAATTAGCCATTTTTAGGATCCATATTAAGAATAGCCCAAATTCACAAAATTTATGAAGTTTAATCGCTTTACAATCAATTTTAGACATAGAGGTCTAAATTTGAAATTGTGAGTTCAAAGATCAAAATTCAACTGTCAAGTATGAAATTGGATTCTGTCAAAGCCTAATTTCAAACCTCGTGTCTGAATTTGTATTATAAACTTCAAGTATGAAGTAAGCCTTTGCAGAGCCCAACTTTAAACAGCCCAATTTTAAACTCGAAAGTCCACAAAAAAGCAGCAGCAAGCCAGCAACATGTTCAATTTTATAGTATTTGTCAAAACTAATTAAATTTCAAATAATTTTTAAAAATTAATTATGTTTTAAATAAAGTGGTATAAGCAGCTATCTGGTATCATTTTTACGCTCTGCTGAGGGTTAGGATTTTTGGGAGGACTCTAGTTTTACTAGTGAAAAACAAGTAAAAAGATCACGGGTTTGACAAATTGGGTAGACTTTATTTTAGGGATTTTTATATTTCTATACATTATTTGAAACCTTATCACCCTCCTTGCTCAAGTTTCAATTTAATTACATGGTCATATACAATTTACCAATTATATATAAATAAGTTTTAAATGAGTATCCCTTTATATTAGGAATTGAATAAGGAATATCAGTCATTTCCTTATTCCTTTATACTTGTCCACTCTCTCTCTTCGTGTCTCTCTTTGCTTTTTCCAGTGTACCCATCGTCTAGCTTTCTTTCCAGTAGTGTGATCTTAATAAAAGAATATGATATCTGGCAGTAAAACTTTCACACTTAATTGGTTATTATAAAATTTAGAGTTCACAGAACAAAGATTGCAACTCAAAAGTTCGGATTACAAATATTGAAAAGAATTACTAAATTCAAGACGAAGATATTGTAGTAATTCATTAATGGATTTCTTGCTGTATAGAGTTTCCACCATTGACAGCCATTAAAAAACTTTGAAGCTTTGAAATTGAATTTGAGTTTTTAAAAACCATTATTTGTTTGGATTGGGTATTATTGAAAACAATTGAAAATATTATTTGAAGTTTATATCTTAATTTTGAGGGTGTTTTGATGAAGATTAGACTTGATTTTGGCTTAATTTCAGATTGAAACTCGAAAAAGAAGAAGAAGAAGAAGAAGAAGAAGAAGAAGAAGAAGAAGAAGACGACATGACATACAATATACTTACGAAATATTAGTAAAGTTGTAGTAAAATTATAGGTAAATTATATTCTGTTGTAGTTATATATATTTTTTTATTTGAATATTGTATGAAAGTTGAAAAATAGTTATATTATGTATGAATCGTTGTATAAAATTTGTATTTAAGTTATCAATGCTATCTTTTTACATAAAGTTGTTGATATGTATCAAAATTGTATTAAGAGAGTAAGTTTTGATTGGAACTTTAGAGAGGAAGAAGCACACACCACACACAAAATATATACAAATCTGATACAAAATATACAAAAGACATATTGTATAAAATTTGTATTTAAGTTATCAATGCTATCTTTTTACATAAAGTTGTTGATATGTATCAAAATTGTATTAAGAGAGTAAGTTTTGATTGGAACTTTAGAGAGGAAGAAGCACACACCACACACAAAATATATACAAATCTGATACAAAATATACAAAAGACATATTGTATAAAATTTGTATAATAATTCCATTTAAGTTGTATGATATTGTAGTTGTATTTAACTGGGTAGAAATAATATATGAAAGTTGTAGATATATTATAAATTAGTTGTAAATAAGTGTATACTGTATAGTTAGTTGTAATTCAATATTACAAAATCAAATGCAATGTGACTAATTCAATATTACATTTTAAGTCGCAATTGACTATAATTTCATTGAGGGGTAAAATTTGATTATGTAATTTGACCAAATAACTTGTGACTATAATTGTCAAAAATGTCGATAAGTTCAAAATGTCTCTGTGCCAATTCCTAGTACTTGTACTGAGTATTGCCATTTGTCTAAGTAATAAGGAGCCCTATTTTCAGGTTGGTTACATGATAGACCTGCAGGCTTTCGGTACTTATGATATAGTTTTGATTTCCTCTGCATTACGAAAAGTATTGTATGTTTAAGGAAATCAATTGTGTTAAGCTGATAGCTTAATCAGATAAATATTATTCGTTGAAAGACATTTGCTAAAGAAGAATTTCGTGATGCTTAATTGTGTGAATATTAGAGTTAAATGCCAAGAGGTGTTGTTATGTCAAATATCACCATTTTCTCAAATTATACATGGGGAGCCAAGTAGATTTTATCATCATACAATTATTTTTTAACTTTCATACAGCATTCAAATAAAAGAATATATATAACTACAACACAATACAATTTATCTATAATTTTACTATAACTTTACTATAATTTTGTAAGTATATTGTTTGTCATGTCGTCGTCGTCTTCTTCTTCTTCTTCTTCTTCTTCTTCTTCTTCTTCGAGTTTCAATCTGAAATTCAACCAGAACAAAGTCTAATATTCACCAAGCACTCTCAAAATTGAGATATAAACTCCAAATAATATTCTCAATTATTTGCAACAACACCCAATCCAAACAAATAATGATTAAAACCCAAATTTGAATTCAAAACTTTATGATAGATTAGTGTTCGAATCTTCAATTCCTATAATATGGAGGTTACTTCAATAGGTTAATTGGCAGAAGATAATTTTTGGCTTACTTTATTGAGAGAGAAAAACGGTGAGTGAGAAAGATGAAGAAAGAAAGAAAAATTGATGAGAGATGCGGCAGTGAGGAAAGAGGAGAGGAGAGAAAAAAAGAAAAAGGATGTAACTAAATACCCTAATTCAAGGCACTAATAATGGATTGTATATAATTTGTAAGTAATCTTTGTTTAGGGTGGGTAATATACAAAAGTAGGACAATTTTGGTAAATAAGTTTCAAATATTGTATAGGAAGAAAAAAAATTCCTTTATTTTATGCTCAATGCACAAAGGTAGTTGATTTTTCAGCAGCATGGTCGAAAAATTATTTTTAATGTAATTAAACTATCTTTAAATTAACCACGATGATTTGGTTTCTACTATTGTTTGGTATGGTTGGAAGGAATATACAAACAATATATCTCATAATTTTAAATCAACCAATTAAAAAAGTTGACATAGAGGGGATAAGGGGATACCCCTCCACTTTTAATTCCTCTTCTCTTATTTGCTTTACCCAGAAAGGAGAATGGCTTGAGCAATTCCACTTTTACTTCCACTCTTCTAGGTTGGAGTAGATAAAAACCATGAAAAATCAGAAGGCAATTTCAAATTGATTCGGGAAAAAATAAAAACAAAAAGTTAGATAACTGCTTCAGAGTTATAACAAAAAAAAAATGTTGGTAATTTCTCTTTAATAAATTGGTCTTGACAAAAATAAAAAAGATATTAGGTGATTACACCGTGTCAAAATGATCTGAGCACTACCGCTTTACAAAAGAATATACTTCTCCTAACACCTTTTCACTAGCTTTCTTGATTGATGTTGTTTCGTTATCATATGGAGTTCTTCCAATATTCCAACTAAATTGGACAAAGATTAACATCATTGTTAACGTAAAAATTGCATTTTTAGCCCTATTTGGTCGCCCCTTTTTAATTTGTACCCCATTTTATTTTTTCGTTTGTATCCGTATCCGTACCCTTTTTTTGTTAAAAGCGTTTTAAAAAGATAATTTTGCCCTTCTTTAATAAAAGACTATTGACAAAACTGTAGACTGCATGACAAAATTTCAGCATGTTTTGGTATGAAATTTTAGCAAATAAACTAAATAATTTCAGCATGCATTAGCAAAAACTCATTAGAAAATTAAGTACTGCAAGACAAAAACTTAAGCATGTTTAGTCTGAAATTTTAGCAAATAAACTAAATAATTTCAGCATGCATTAGCAAAAACTCATTAGAAAATTAAGTACTGCAAGACAAAAACTTAAGCATGTTTAGTCTGAAATTTTAGCAAATGAACTAAAAAATTTCAGCTTGTTTAGACTGAAATTTCAGATAAAACTCATGACAAAACTGTAGACTGCAGGACAAAACTTCAGCATATTTTGGTATGAAGTTCAGAAAATTATATACTGTAGGACAAAAACTTAAGAATGTTTAATCTGAAGTTTATCAAATGAACTAAAAAACTTCAGCATGTTTAGACTGAAGTTTCGGATAAAACTCATGACAAAATTGTAGATTACAGGATTAAAAACTTCAATGTAAAAATTTTCGCGAATGAGGATCACGCGATTAATACGTGATGCAGGTTTTATATCTTTTGTCAGGAGTATAATTATCATATTATTACGGAATTTTTGTCAACCGACTACCCGCACAAATATAGGGTACGACTACTCATTTCCACTTCACTTTTAGATTGATTACAAGCTTTTTAATAGTTCAGAATGGGAGTCCCCTTTAATATGTTATTCTATTAACAATTGTAGATTATGAGCACAAGTAATTATAAAGATTTACCTATTTCCATTTCTCCAATGAAATATCCGGCCCATTACTTATTTTTCAAGATTTCGCAGGGTTTTTTTCACTTTTAAGAGCCTCAAATTATTTATATTCGGTAACTGAAAAATTGTATAAAATTTATATAATTTTTGTATATAACATACATGATATATATATATATATATATATACAAAAAATATATATTTTTTCTGTTTTTATTTTAGGGGCTATAAAGTATTATTTTTCCGATTGTTAACGCCCTGATCAGGATCAATAACTTTAAGAGGAAATTCTTTCGATTTTGGCTTCCAAGAAATAATTTTTTCTTTTCAAGTATATATAGTCGCATTTGTACATATACTCTGCTAGAGAACAAAAAGGTAAACCAAAAGGGACAAAAAAGAAACACAGGTAAAAGTGGCCTAAAAAGAAAATCTACTGATCAAAAAATTGATCACAACGGAAAGTAAGGCCCAGCTCCATTTTACATTCTCCGGCGGCGTCTAGCAAATGAACAGCTTCACTCCGTTTCGTAGCCTTCGGCTTATCGTGAGACGTTGCAAAAGGCGCAAAGCCTAAAGTCAGTTCCAGTTCGATTTCGCCGTCTTCAGCTCGGTCGTCAACTTGAGATACGGAAGCAGGTTCAACTGCAGCTGAATCTTCAGCTTCAGCCATCTCTGCGGACTGCAAACTCTCAATCTCCCTGCTTTCGCATTCCACATTGGGAGCCGCCATTGCCGCAGCTTCAGATTGGTGACTCAATGAAGAGTCATGGCTCGTAGACCCGTTAACTTTTTCATGGGCGGATTCATCACCCGACCCGGAATAAACTGGGTTAGCTTTTGTTTTAGACGCTGAGCGCTTGAATCGACATCGGGTCCTGACCCGGTGAAGAACATTTGACTTGATAGCGTTGTCATCTTTGTTGATATGCCTAATGTCGTAAGGCAATTTCAAAGGAGGACCGTTGTTGTTTACAGCAACATCAGAAGCTATAGGAGTAATTGGAGCTCCTTTGAGTACTGCTTCCACAGCATTTTGACAAAGCTGCCAATTTCCAGACCATAATAACCCCACGGATCCATATATTGGGTTCACTATTCTGCCACAAGCCTCGTATAGCAATGACCTAAATATAGCTGCAAACATAGAAAACGAAAAATTAATTAGTGAAGTTTAAGCTACTAAGTATGTACTAATCAATACGCATGCATGGACTTGAATAATTAATATAACTAACTTGTTTTGAGAGTGAAGAACAGTTATTTACCAGGACGGAGATGATCAGGGCCGGCGTTAATAAGATTCATAAGGCCAGCACGGCCGTAAAACTTTGCGAGGAAAACAGTAGCGTTCGATTGAGACTCAGGAGTCTTGATCCATTGAAGACATGGCCGTATACTACAACTTTCGCTGCAGCCCTTTCGAAGAACTCTACAACCATTGCAACTCATCCGCATTTTTAAGTAATATTTGGCTAACTTAAGATATATTTGTTTGAGAGGAGAAGTATAGAGAAAAGGGAAGATTTTTTATGAGTTAAAGATGAGAAGATGCATGAGACTTATATATGAAACCCCTTTGGTTTTATTCTTGTGGGATTACTAGAGGCGCAGTCGGTTTGTCTCGAGAGGAAGAACAGCAGTATATTTCTATTGAAAACCAGGTTTTCCACATTCCTGGAATAGGGAGCTGCACCCCCACCTTATAGTATAAAAAATAAAGGCTCATACTGATTTTAAAATAACACAACTGCAAAGCCATAACACACTCTCGTTTCAATTACGTGCTTTTCACACCCCAATCACTATAGTCGACCTGACAATTTTATTGGTTGGTTATTAACTTGGGTCCAAAATGATTCAATCTTTGTTTCTACAAATGGTCCAAAAAAGCAGCTGCTTTTACTTTATGAACAGTAAAACAGAAGCTTGAAATGACAAATGGAGAAGGCATCTGATTCTGAAAAGAATAGACAGGTGGAGATGAAATAGGGAGCATTGGGGTTTGGTGCCATGCAAGTAACAACAACAAAATTGGAAGATGAAGCGCGTGGATATCACATGAGAGTGTCAGAGTGCGGTCGAATCGCCACATATCGTGGAGAAACGCGGGCCCACAACCACCATTTTAGTGGCCCCCACCTTAATGCGCTCCCGGTTTACGGGAAAGTCGTGTTCCACGAAAAAACCTCTTATGGGGTGGGAAAACCGAGGAATGGGTTGCCGGTTTTGGTTTTTGGTCTGTGGGCGGGGGAGGAGACGGAGCCCGTGGGCCACCGGTTTAACAGGAACCCAGCTACTCATGTTTATCCCATAAGATAGGAGTAAATCAATTATAGTTTTCCAAGGGGACTTATTTAAAATTTAAATGACGGCAAATTATGATTATTTAGATTTAGTACTAAACTTTTTATGCTGGATTCTACCAGGAAATACCATAATGAATGTCATCCACGCGCCTATTGATAATGGCAGGTAGAATTAGGAGATTTTTTTCAACTAAAATAGACAACGACTATGAAGTTTTTTAAGGATAACTTTGAAAATATATTCTTGTAATCACAATGAAATCACAAGTAAAAAAGAAAAGCTAACATAATTTGATGCAACTATCATACTACTCCAATTTTAAGAAAGGAATTTGTTGGTCTTACTTTTCCAAGAAAAATAGCATCTATCATACTACTACGATAGTTTAAGATAAAGTTATCCGACAAATATTATAGCAATATTTACAATTCAACTCGAAAAAATTCTTCCAAGAAATAACATGTAACCGAGATAACAATAATCTAGCTAAACTATGCGCAACTAAATTCCACATTTTAAAAACGTACAATATTTATATGATCAACTTGATTAAGAAATCGGATGGTCTAATTTGACATAATATTGTGTTGTTAACAAATACTAACAACGTTTAGAAAAAAGAAAGAAAGGAAATTCATGATTTGGACGTGAAATCCACGAGGAAAGAAACAAGTGGTGGAACCTTAATTGGCAAAGTTTAAATTGCAGCAATTATTTATACTAATATTTTAAAGAGTGGGCGGCCACCGGGAATTTGGAGAACAAAAATCTTATAACTCCATCACATGCACTTCTCTATTTCCCTTCTTGACTTTGGATTGATTGAAAGGTTTGGCCTTAATTTTAAAACATGATCTGCAACAAGTTATTGACCAAGGAACATGGTAATTACGTATTTATCTTTAAAAGGAAATTTTAAGTTTGAGCCTTAAGTATAAAATTATATTTGTTAGAGAGTTTTACATTTTCATTCGAATTTATTCAGAGTCAAATACAGATATTCTAACACAAAAAAATACAAGTTTCTGACCGGCATGGCTTCCCAAAATACAAGTACCTTTTTGTTTAAAGGGCACTCCTCTCCCAATGTGGTTTTTGTACAATTTGTCTCTATAGAATATATGCTAGTACTACTTCTTAGACTCAATCTAATGAAGGTGGCTACTAGATTTATTGGCCCACGTTACTTATTTAGGGAAATGTTGACTTAGTTTATGCGTGAAACCAATTACCAAGTTGGTCGGCTGTCTCACCACTTGTAATGCACCTGTACAACATGGGTGGCCAAAGTATACTTGTGCTTATTTATTCACAATCACTTTTTTAAATTTACAACTCATCTTCCACTTTTTTTTAAAAAACATTATCTTAATAATTTTCTATTCCATAAAACATTCATAATCCTAACAAAAGGGATTTTTAATGACTAGTCAATGAAATAAATAACCAAATAGTATTATGAACAAGTGAGGCTTGCTTAGTTGGTAAAAACACTTCCACCTACGACCGTTAGGTCCTGGGTTCGAGTCACTTTGGAGGAGAAGTGTGAAAACACTATAGATCCTCCTAATTTGGGAGGGGTTTTAAAAAAAAAAAAAAAGAAGAAAAAAGATACACTCTTCATTTCAATTTAGATAAGTTAATTTGATTCGGCGGAAAATTTAAGGAAAAAAAAAAGAATGACTTTTGAAATTTGTGGTCTTAAAAGTTTAATGGGTAAAAGTTTTATGGGGTTATGACATTTGTGTGGTTATAAAAGATTCTCATTAAGGGTAAATTGAGTAAAATGAAGAGTTTAAAGTTGAATTATTTTCAATTGTAAAAATATGTCATTCTTTTTTAAACAGACTAATAATGAAAGTGCGTCGTCTAAATTGAAACAGGAAGTATATGGACAAACGGGTCCTTATAAGTTATAATCACATACTTCTGCTAACTTATTCAAGTTTTAACACCTTACTATCCTATTATCCAAAAAGAGGGATTCTCTTTAAATACGAATCGTCAATCTAGCGATTAGCAAATTCGTAAAAGTTGGGTTTTAAGTACTTTTTAGGATAGGAATTCGGCTCTTCAGTCACTTTAATGGTTTATTGTCTCTATCAAACCACTGCTATTAGTTAAGAGGCCAAGCGAAAAAAATTACTCGCATCAAACTATATATAGAATTTTATCACGATTAGCGACAAAGAGTGAAGGAAGAATATGCGTTAATGTATTAAGGAATATACATTGATTAACGATAACAGTATATCTAAAAATATATTTATTTATTGAATTGATACAAATATAGAAAGCGAGTATATTTTGTTAAGCATCTAGCCGCGAAAAGATACTTTATGAGAGATAGGACGAAAAAGTTATATGTTGACCAGCACGAAAGAGACTTGGTCTATTAGGTTGCTGATACCTAATATCAGTAGGAATTGGGTCGGTTCTTTTCCTTCTGACTTATTGGAAAGAAAAAGAAAAGAAGGAAAAAAAAAAAAAAAAAAAAAAAAAAAAAAAAAAAAGAAGACCAGCTCTTGCTCGTTTTACTTCTACCTCGTGGGTTTCCACATCAAAATGGCATTGGAATTTTAACTTTATTTAAAGAAAAAATTTTAATGCCCATAAATTATGTGTGTGCCCTTAGACAAATTCAAGATCTTAATTTAGTTTGTGCAGGTATACATTTTCCTGTTTGCAATATATGCGAATTTAATTAGTGTGAGTAAACACGTTAAAAATTCGGATAAGGGTTTGATTTGCCCTTCTACTATCATAAATAGGCCTTATTTATCCTTCGTTTAATTTTTCTATAAAAAATATCCTTACCGTTATACATTAGGTTCATATTTACCCCTTAAACATTTAAAAGAGTTACAGTTACCCTTCGTTATACTTTAGGATCATATTTACCCCTCTACTCTTAAAAAAGGGTTACATTTGCCTTTCGTTATACTTTCTTGACATATTTATCCTTACAATTATACCCTACATTTACCCTCATCCGGTAGATCGTCATGTCCCACCTTTGTTTTCCTACATGGGGCCTATGTGGATTTTGTTTTCTTCCAATTTAAATATGGTCACTTATTTAAGATAATTTAACCCGCCCATCCAATTTAAATAAGACACACTAACTAAAATAAATGGAAATTATAATTCCCAATTCCCCCCACCCCCATCCCCACTTCCACCCCCACAAACAATAACTTTGAACTCAAAATCACTAATCTAATACAATTCACAATTATTGCAGTAACCAAAGTAAATTACAAGAAGTTACACATTAATGGAGTTAATTAAGTCTTATTTAAATTAGGTGAACGAGTTAAATTATCTTAAATAGGTGACCATATGTAAATTGAAAGAAAAGAAATCCACATAGACGCCATGTAGGAAAATAAAAGTGGGACATGACGATCTACCGGATGAGGATAAATGTAGGGTATAATTATAAGGATAAATATGTCAAGAAAATATAACGAAGGGTAAATGTAACTCTTTTTGAAGAGTAGAGGGGTAAATATGATCTTAAAGTATAACGAAGGGCAAATGTAACCCATTTTAATGCGTAAGGATAAATATGAACCTAATATATAATTGTAGGGATATTTTTGATAGAAAACATAAACGAAATAAATAAGACCTATTTATGATAGTAGAAGGACAAATCCGATCCTCGGTAAAAATTCATACAATGTTGAAAATAGTGAACGCAATTGTACTTGCTGTTCAAAAAGTACACCGTCTCTGTTTGTGCCCATAGACTGTAATTTAATTGATTGCCAACAGTTTTCAGCAACCATCAAAGTGTTGATTATTTAATCTAGACCAGAAACAACCAGAAACTTGGGACCCCTTTGGCCCTAAATTTTGTTAAAATAAACTTGAGTTTTATTTGGGAAATACATATTTGACCATAGATTTTGCTTATATTTTGGTCAGATCTCAAATCCCAAAATCAGCTAAAATATTACTATTATATTTTTTAAAAATTGCCCAAAACTTTTATATTTTATAAAAGAGTTCATCATTTACTGTTTTGTAACGATGTTGCTTCGTTTTCTCGGTCATTTGATAGTATATCATGTAGTTCATTATAAAAATGATAATTTTGTATCATATTTATTTATGTTCAGGACTATGATTTGCGATAATATAATGAATGTTATTGATAATGGTACTGTTGGGAATTTGTGATAGTTTTTAAAACTTGTGGTTATAAGTCATGTTTCATGTTTTTTCAAACCAAACTTCATCCAAAATAGATGTCCAAACACATTTTTATTTTCAAACCAAACTTCACCCAAATTAAATTTTTCAGAATAAATTTAAGAATATATGGTCA